CTACGCCAGAAAGAAGTGCACATACCAAGTTTTGTTAAGATATCTAAATTTTTACTCGAGTTATCGTGTGCACAGACGGACGGACGGACGGACAGGCAGTCACCGCTTAATCGATTTCTCTTATCATTCTGATCATTTATGTATACATTTGTCTATACCTATCTCGATTCGTTTTGCCTGTTACAAACAACCGTTATGTGAACAAAGATATAATACCCTTGTGCACAAGTGCGCTCGGGTATAAAAATTGGAGTTATTGGAAAAGGGACGTGGCACCTCCTATACAAACCGAATTTTTTATTCTGCATATCTCTGGAAGTTTTCATGGTAGAGTACTGGAACTATGGCACATATGAAATCGATCGCGTAATCTTGCAAATGTTCATGGTAGAGTACTGAAACTTGGTGTAGAGATATATAAAATCAGTCGCATACTCTTGCAGAAAAATTGGAGCTATTGGAAAAGAGGGCGTTGTACCTCCCATACAACCCGAATATTTCATACCGCATCGGGTATAAAAATTGGAGTTATTGGAAAAGGGGCGTGGCACCTCCTATACAAACCGAATTTTTTATTCTGCATATCTCTGGAAATGTTCATGGTAGTATACTGGAACTTGGTATGTAGATATATGAAATCAATCACATACTCCAGACGAAAAATTCGGACTATTTGAAAAGTTGGCGTGGCACCTCCCATACAGACCGAATTTTTCATGATAAGTATCTCTGGAAGTGCTTATGGTAGAGTGTAATGCAATCAAGCATACATTTTACCTTATATGAATTCGCCTTTTACTAATCTATTACAATTAAGAATTAAGAAGTTGCGATATTGAAAAATGCAACCCTTTTGTATTGCGAAAGCGGCTAACGTTAAGTCAAAAAGTGAGAAATAAATTGGCGTCATTCCATATGCGCCATTCTACTCGATCGGACGTTTTTCATTGTCACAGTCTTTTATTAAAAAGAGTTTGGTTTCCCGGGCTTCGGGCAAGAAAAACATATAACCTGCCCACACAACTTAGGCAGCTTCACCGTCCGACAACGCCGAATCTGCGAATAGCAGCGCTTGAGTGCACGCAGCAGCGGAGCGCTAGGGCTCCATCGAGCAGCATGAGATGAACTCAATTTAATTTACAAAATTTAAAAATCCAAATCCTATATTTGCGGTGGTGGTATATTACAGAAAAAAACAAAATTTTTACAAAAAAAAAATTAATTAAATACAAAATAAAAAAAAAAAAGATATTACACACAGCAGTGGCAAATTCGAAAAACTTTGCAAATACAAAAATTAATGAATACAAATTTAAAGATTAACATTTAAAACAAACTTTTTTACAAAACGCGGTCGTACCAAAATTGAAAACAAAAAAAAAGTTCACGAAAAGTGATGTGATGCCGGGTGTAACGGTGGTTGTAAAGAACAACAACAATTATACTTCAGTGCGTTAAAAACTAATATGCGTGACTTTACAAAAGCAAACCAATTTTGGAAAAAGACAACAAATATACTTCAGTGCGTTAAAAACTAAAATGCATGACTGTACAAAAGCAAACCAATTTGGGAAAAAAGACAACAACAAATATACTTCAGTGCATTAAAAACTAAAATACGTGACTGTACAAAAGCAAACCAATTTTGGAAAAAGACAACAACAAATCTACTTCAGTGCGTTAAAAACTTAAATGCGTGACTGTACAAAAGCAAACCAACCCACCCGGTACTTAGCCTTTTTGATATGTTGAGCCACTGAACGGTAACCACCGTTAAGCAGCGGTTCTGAAACCACGCTACCAAACAACAACCGTAACAGCCGTTACATAGTGGTATGTAAAAACCACGCCACCAAGCAACAACAACAACAACATCAGCGTTAAAACAACAAGCAACATCAGCGAAGGCGTATAGACACTTAACAACGGAGTCAACTAGTAACAACGGAATACATAACATGGCAGCATATGTACACATTTAGATGAGTTTATTTAAGTACAGTGTTGCATACAAAAATACAAATAATGCGATAAGATCCCTAATGATTCCATTTGCTTAATACGGTTTTACATTTTCATTCCATATTGTCAATTCATACTTTTACTTTATGCATACATTTTCTTGCATAATTTCAAATATTTTCTTGGAATTTAAATACTTACATCAAATTTCCAATAAAATTTGAAGTTTTTGGGTTACGTAATTGATACAATTCGTAATTTGTTTTCCTCGAAAGAAAACGCCGTGACGTGAATAAATATTTTTTTGACAATACTTCCGATGTTTCGTAAAACTCGCATACTCATTTTTGATGTTTTCTCAAAACCCTGCCGTTAACAACTTACCTTTACGATTTTTATACCTTTCATGAGCATGAAATGGTATTATAACTTTGGTCCGATGTTTGTAAGTACCAGAACAAAAAGAGATAGACCCATGAAAATGTATACTTATATGATCAGAACGTCGAGCTGAGTTGATTTAGCCATGTCCGTCTGTCCGTCTGTCCGTCTGTCCGTCTGTCTGTCTGTTTGTATGCAATCTAGTCTCTCAGTTTTCGAGATATCCGGATGAAATTTGGTAGGTGGGTTTATTTTTATAATGTATTAATCATTTGTCGGAACCGGAAGAATCGGACCACTATAACATATAGCTCCCATACAACTGATTGTTCAGATATGAGATTTTTCATTATAACTTCGCCATTTATGCAGCTACGAACATGAAATTTTGCAATACTTGCACCCATTATCAACAGAATACTTATAGTGAAAATTACAAAGATCGGGTCACTATAACCTATAGCTCCCATACAACGGATTGTTCAGATATAAAATTTTGCGTTATAACTCCTCCATTTATATAGCTAGGAACATGAAATTCCGCACTGTTTTCAATAATTATCTACAGCAAACTTACAGTGAAAATTAAAAAGATCGGGTAACTATAACCTATAGCTCCCATACAACTGATTGTTCAGATATGAGATTTTTCGTTATAATTCATCCATTTATGTAGCTAGGACCATAAAATTTCGCGCTGTTTTCACTCATTATCAACAGAAGACTTACCTCGAAAATAATAAAGATCGGGTCACTATAACCTTCAGCCCCCATACAACTGATTGTTCAGATATTAGGTCTTTTATCATAACTCCTCCATTTATGCAGCTAGGAACATGAAATTTCGCACCATTTTCACTCATTATTAACAGAATACTTACAGTGAAAATAACAAGGATCGGATGACTACAACATATATCTTCCATACATCTGATTGTTCAGATATGGGATTTTACTGTAAAACTTCTTTATTTGAATAGCTAAAACCGATAAATTTCGTAAGATATTTTATAAATAATAATACAAAGTCTACTGTGAAAATCGTCAAAATCTATGCTGTATAAGCTTTATCTCCTATAGCACTGATTGTTCAGATACCAGTTTTTGCGATATATCTCCTTTATGTAGGAAACTAAACCCAATAAATTGTGTTACCGGTTTACATACCGATGACATAGCGGTGAAAATCACTTAGATTGGTGTCATATAAAGTATATCTTCCATACCTCTGATTGTTTAGATGCGATTTTTTATATAAGTATGTAACTCCTCTATCGATGTATGCAGATGTATTCAAAAGCAGTAATCTGTCAAACTAAAATTTGCAGATGTTCATGAAAGGTATGAAGCCTTCGGCATAGCCGAAGACAGCGCTGCTCTTACTTGTTTTTTATACATTTGCGACCAATATTACAAACAGTTTAACTTCTTCTGAAATATTTCAAATGTCTTATATATATGTATTTATATATCTATGTATATGTATATATAAAATATTTTGCCCTACTGTGTCGACTACAAATTTATAAAATTTTGCAAAAAAAAGCAAATATATACCATCTTTTTAATTGCATGTGAGACAGCACAAAGATAAAGCAACATCCCTTTCCTATTGCATGGCTATACGCCTTTATTGCATGCCAAATTTTCAGCGGACTATAATATTTGACTATTTTCTCAGTAAGTAATACATATATTCTTTTTCATCATTAGGGTGCGGTGAGTAGTAGCTGGTTGTAACTATCAGTGCTTGAACTTTTTGAGGTTATCGGTTATGTCAGATTTTGAAATACAATTTATAGAATACCAATCTGATTTCGTTAAAGTAACTAAGCGAATTTTGCAGAACCGACCACTGTCGACAAATGCGGTTAAACTCAAAGAATACAAAGATTCGCTTATAACTTTTTATAATAAAATTGTATTACACGTACCCGATAACAGTTCAACACATAACCTCAAAGAAGTGCAAGCAAAGCTATCACGTTGCAAGGAGCTACTCGTGAACTGCTTTGTTAGGTTAAATTATCAGATTCCAATTCCGAAGAATGCGTTAAGTCTTATATGCCAAACGAACGTAGTTGATTCGGAATCAGAAGTTTTCGCTGACGCTGAGTCAGAAACATCGCTAGGTTTTGGTATCAAAAGAAGCTCATCACTTCCAGATTTAAAGCACTCATTATTTCCAGATAACGCTCCACCAGCAGCTACCAGCTCACCTGATATTACCGATTTTTCAAAAAGTTTTCACAAAATGGCTACCATCGAACAGAAAAAGTCATTTATTAGTCTATGTTCATCAATATTTAGAGAAAATTATAGTGGGGATCCGTTAGCGCTCGATTCTTTTCTCGATAAAATAAGAAGACCTAGCTGAAGAAAATCTAACCAGTACGTTGATAGCATTTTTAAAATCTAAATTAGAGGGAAAAGCTCGCTAAGCATTACCGACGCAAATACTATCAGTTAATGACATCAAAATTGCTATACGTGGAAGGATTAAAGCTGATAATTCCAAAGTTGTTGCAGGAAAAATTTCGGCGTTACACTTCAACAATAATAACTATACAGATTTTTCTAAACGCGTAGAAGAACTGGCCGACTCTTTAGAGCGTTCCTTAATTATTGAAGGAATGACTCAACAAAAAGCTCACGAAATGAATGTTGAGCAAACCGCAAATGTTTGTCGATTAAATGCCAAGTCGGATCTAGTCAAGTCGATACTTGCTTCAACAACATTTTCCGATTCCAAAGACGTAGTAGCAAAGCTGATAGTAGAGCAAAATAACGAAGTAAAAGAGCGTCAGGTTTTAGCATTTCGCACATGTGGCAGTAACTTTTCCAGAAATTTTCGTGATAGTTTTCGTGGGCATAGTAATTATAACCCAAGTCGCAATTTTACTGGTTATATGAACAGGTTTTCTTCAGGCAATGGAAACCAGCGCTATCGACCCACTAACGGAAACACCCACCAAAGTGTCAGCAATAATAACCGTTTTAACAATAATCGTGTTAGTAATAGGAACAACACCAATAATAGCAGATCTTCGAACAATAGGGGTAGAAACGCAAATAACCGTGCTTTAAACGCTCACGCCCCTCAGGAGCGAACATTGGGGGAGCAGGAGCTAGACAACTAAACGATTTTTCCATAACAAAAGGCATTTATTGCTTAAACCTAATTTATTCAGATTATATTCAATTGCAAGATCCCGGGTCAAATAAATTATACACATTTTTGGTCGACACGTAAGCCGACATTTCTTTAATTAAAATTTCAAGTTTTAACGAAAATTTTCCAATTGATTCAAATGATATCATCCGCATCACGGGCGTTACTTCTTATACTGTTTCGACTCTGGATAAAATTACAACAAATTTGACTTTTTCCGATTTTTTTATAAAACATACGTTATATGTAGTTAATGACGAGTTTAACATCCCTGCAGACGGTATATTGGGTAAAGGCTTTTTGAAAACCAATAGATGCGTTATCAGCTATGCGAGCAATTGCATCTCCTTCTGGGTAGGTAACAAAAAGGACGCGATTCCGATTTTCACGGAACTGAAAGCGATACCTGCGTAATTCCACCCGGACGCGAAGTTTTTCGACTTTTTAATTTAGAAAGTTCACCGGAACCACTTTTTGTGGAGTCACAAGAAATTGATAACGGTGTATTTACGGCAAGGTGAAGAAGAAAGTTACTCGAAATTAAATAGAGAACTTCAATTGTTGTTCCGAAAAAATACACTAATGGTCAAAAAGCGTACCGCATGTGCGTCGATTTCCGTGCTGTTAATAAGACACTGATTGCCGATAAGTTCCCTCTTGCGAGAATAGATTACATTTTAGACAACCTGGGCCGAGCGAAGTATTTTTCAACTTTAGACCTCTTTTCAGGATTTCATCAAATCCCTTTGCATGTTGACTCTCGTGACGTAACATCCCTTAGCACCGACCGAGGAGCATTTAGGTGGAAAGTATTACCTTTAGGTTATTTTAGGAGCTCTTCTGGCCGGTGATTTTAAAAAAGCAAAAAGAAGTTTCCTTTTTTCTTCCTACGCGTTTCGGCGTTATTTTCCGCCTTCTTCAGGGAGTCTGTTCTTATTTATTTAGAATAAAACAAAAAGAACATAAAAAACACAACCATTAGATACAATGTTACATATTGAAATATCAAAACAATTAGTTAACACATATACCAATAAAATTCTTCATGATCACACTTACATCTTTACATTTACATCACATTTGGCACAATTATTATTTTAACATATTTTATTTGGACATCACTAATAAATAAATCTACATAAAAATATCACAGCTTAATATTGTTTATCGCTTATCTGCTCGTCGAATGTGTCCAATTGCTGCCCGGTATGCGCAATTTATGTTATCCACGTCTTCTTTGAAGTTCATGGCGTCCTGTATTCTTTGTTGTATTCGAAGACCTTCTAATGTTAATCTTGTCCTCTCACTCCTTTCTACGTCTAATATTTTGGTGTTTTCGAAGTCTGCTGCGTGTCCGCTAATTGTTAAGTGTTGGGCTAGTGCTGTTGTTGTCTTTTTGTGTTTTGCGTCAGTTTGGTGTTCGTTGATTCTGACGCCAAGTGCTCGCTTTGTCGTGCCTACATATACTTTATTGCAGGTTTCGCCAACCTTTCCTTTGCATTTTATTTCGTAAACAACATTATGTTGTTGTTCCTTGTTGATTTTGTCTTTTGTTTTGCTGAAAATTGTGCTTAGTGTGTGGTTTGGTTTGTGGGCAAAGGTTATATTTTCGTTGCGAATGTTTTTGTGTAATGTTTTATTATCCGTTAATCCATGTATATATGTGACTCCTGCGAATTTCTTGTGCATGATTATTTACAGCTTCAATTCTCATGCCTGCTGACTTTCGTTTGTTTATTGCTGTTGCTATAAGTTTATTTATGATATTATTAGGGTACCCGTTTTTGTATAATATTTCTTTATCTTTTTGTTGTTTGCATTTCTGAACTCCTGGTCACTCAACGCGTGGATTTTATTTATAAGATTGATAGCAGTGTTCCTCTTTTGCGTCCAGGGGTGATTCGAGTGATAATTAATAATTCTAGAGGAAGCTATGTCTTTAGTATACCAGTTTGTTAACAAGTTTTTGTTTATATTGCATATTTCCATGTCTAGGAAGGCTAATTTTTGTTTCTCTTCAACTTCAGTCGTGAACTGGATTTTTCTATGTTATGCATTTAAAGTTTTAACTATTTCTTCCACGTCATTTTTATTTACAATAGCAAATATATCATCTACATACTTGTTGATGTATTTGATATATATTTCCTTGGTTCTCAATTCAGCAATGCTGTCGTCTAGTATTTTGTCCAAAACAATATCTGCTACAGTCGGTGATAGAGGGTTTCCCATTGGCATTCCATGTACCTGTTGGTAATAGGTACCATCATAAACAAAATAGTTTTTGTCCCGTAAGCAAAATTCCAAGGCACGTAAAAATTGTTTTCTTGAAAGGCTTGTATGATTTTGCAAGGACGGCCATTGCTTCATAATTGTATTAATTGCCAATTGTATTGGAATATTGGTAAATAGGGACACTACATCAAAAGATATAAGGATTTCATTTTCTTCGACTTTTATGTATTTTAGCCTTTCTTTGAGTTCAAATGAATTTTTGATGTTATATTCTTTGGAAATTACGAGTTTTAGAGTTTGTCCGATGAATTTATAAAGCTTGTAGCAAGGTATTTACATTTGTTGAAGAGGAAATTGGTCTAAGAAGAGTATTTTCTTTGTGTATCTTTGGAAGGCCATTTAGTCTGGGAGCTGTAGCTGCAGTGCTTGTCAATTGGTGTTTCTGTTTGACGTCAATATTTTTTTGTTTGTAAATGTCATTAATTATGTTGTTATTTTTCCTTAATAATTTTTGTGTTGGATCCATTCGCATAGTTTTGTAGGTGTCTTTATCGCTAAGGAGGCTTTTTGTTTTATCATTATATTCCGTTTTGCTCATCATTACTTATTGTTGCCTTTGTCTGCATCTGTAACACTATGCGACAGTCAAAATCGGGATGGGATGAAACCAACGGGAAATGTTATATCGGTCAAAAACAAGTTATACGTGGCCCGGCGTTTCGCTGGGTCACGTATAGGAATCGAGATATATCGATTTGAAATTAGTAACTATCATATAGTCGAAATTGTCTCCTTTGGTGGTCTTTTTTTTGACATAACTCGAGAACCACTAGTCCGATTGAAACGCCAGTCCAGCGAAACGCCGGGACACGTATAACTTCTTAGTTAGTTTGAACCCTTCCCGATCACTGACCCCTACCATTTGTCTCACAGTGTAA